CCGGTATTGGTGCATCCCTACGCAGAAACTTCAGTATAAACAAACAAACTCTATGCAGTTAGTATCTTGGCTGGGACTTGAATCAGGGACCATTCTGCTGCAAGGCAGAAGTGCTAACCACAAGGATACCATGCTGGCCTTCAAAAGAGGCCTGCAAAATGATTGAATAAGTGCAGAGACCACTACTTTCTCTTGTGAAAATGTAGATGAAAAGGTTTCATCATCACTAGCAGAGTGGGATCGATCTGTCGAACCTATTTTCCCAGAAGATGCAGAAATCCAAGGTAAAACCTCTTCCTTTGCAGAGGAATCAGAGGGCGAAGGTGATGGTGGGGATCGCTTTTTAGTAAAGACTGTCTCCATATGCGAAACAAAAACTTCCGAAACAGAAATAAGTGTTTTCACAGGAATATAATAGAGCTCAGGGTCCAGGGCCACCCAAAGCAGGACCTTAGAGTGAAGCAGGGGTCAGCAAGGATTCACAGGTGGAAAAAATAGAGCCTGACCCAGGATAGGGATAAACTCCCCCACATGTCGCACAGCTCCCCTCAGTGCTGCTCACTGAACCAGCACCACTCCCCTTAACAGGGTCCGTCATGCCCCAGCTCCACAAGCTTGAACCCACCAGGCCACCGGGGATGAAGTGTGTCCCAGCAGGCTTGCCACCCCCGAGAAACTAGTATGTTTCAAAGTGCAGCCTCTGCTTCCTCTGTGCTGACAGAAAAGCCTGGGAAGCAGCGCTGGCGATGTCACCTGCCACCTCAGAAGCAGGTACCCACACACAGCACACAGAGTGCCCACTGATGACAGTGGAATCAGTGCCGCTCTGTCATAGAAAAAGTCCTGCCTCTGCCATAGATAGCGGCTGCTTTTGAACACTGCAGTCACTCTGTGTAAAATGTTAATAAATAATAGCAAAGCGGCTACACGAGAAGCAGCATTGCCTCAGAAATCCAGGTGTGGAGGGGGGAGAGGTCTGACTGAAACTCTCTGTCAGAGAAAGAGGGAATGGTGGCAGCTGTTACTTCTCTGACAGTCACCCCCGAGAAACCAGTCTGTTTCAAAGTGCAGCCTCTGCTTCCTCTGTGCTGACAGAAAAGCCTGGGAAGCAGCGCTGGCGATGTCACCTGCCACCTCAGAAGCAGGTACCCACACACAGCACACAGAGTGCCCACTGATGACAGTGGAATCAGTGCCGCACTATCTATGGCAGAGTCCTGCCTCTGCCATAGATAGCGGCTGCTTTTGAACACTGCAGTCACTCTGTGTAAAATGTTAATAAATAATAGCAAAGCGGCTACACGAGAAGCAGCATTGCCTCAGAAATCCAGGTGTGGAGGGGGGAGAGGTCTGACTGAAACTCTCTGTCAGAGAAAGAGGGAATGGTGGCAGCTGTTACTTCTCTGACAGTCATACCCCACATATACATGAGGGAGAAAAGAGCTCAAGTATTACTCCCTACAGACAACATTAAGTGTAAAAGTGTATGACCAAACCCATAAACTTCATCATTCTGCACCTACTGACAAAATCCTGGCAACTTTCCTATCCCACACTGAGGATTCGACTCAAGGTCATTATATAATCATCAGTCTTTTGACTTGGTTTCAGCCCTTGCTCAGACCTTCCAGTTGCTCTCTCCTTGTTCCTGTGCTCTGTGTATGATCCTGGCTCTGTCTACTGATCTCCTGGTTCCAGACTCCGGCTATTGTACTTGTTCATCTTGCTCTTTGAGTTCCCAGACATTCCCAGACCTGGTTCAGCTGACTACTCACTTTGGCTTTAGACCTCTGGATCAGCTCAAACTACACCTTGGAGTTACCTATTGTTTTGCTATTTTGTTTAACCACTTGAAGACCAGGTGTTTACACACCCTTCCTGTCCAGGCAATTTTTCAGTATTCAGCGCTGCGGTACTTTGACTGACATTCATACCGTCATGCAACACTGTACTAAAATGTATTTAACACCATTTTATTGGGACAGATTGAGGTTTCTTTTGATGGTATTTAATCACCACTGAGGTTTTTATTTTATACTATATAGTGAAATAAGTACCAAAATGGGTCCCTACATTATGTTAAAAAACATTTATTCTTACCCAAATTTTTGGTAAAATATAAAAGACAGGGTCAAATCAGGTAAATAGACACCAAACATGTCAAGGTTTAAAATTGTGTGCGCCAGCGAAATCGCAAAAAAAAAAAAAAGTTGGCCATAGGCGACGCTTTAAAAGCTTTTACCGCTCATCAGCTTAGTGTTATCAATGTTGATGATGAACTTCGCGCTCAGCTACTCACTAAGCAGCAAGCACTAATTCTAGTGAGAACCAGAATAATTTATTTATGCACAATTTATTTATGTTAGTTTAGTGTTATCAGAGATTGATGGCCCTGAAATTATTGCCCTTACTCTGACGTTTACAGTGATATGTAACATGTTTGGCACAATGGGTGCACATAGGCGCACCCGACACGTTTGTGTGTGTGTATGTGGGAGCGGGGGACTTTAAAAACATTTTTGTGTTTTAAAAAAAAATAATTATATGTGACTTTAATTTTTTTGTAACTTTCATTTTTTTTAAACTTTTTTTCACTTAACTTTATTGCTATCACATAGGGAGCTAAGAATCCCCCTATGTGATAGCCAATTTACACAGACAGGTCCTCGTTATGGAGACTCTAAGACCTAGTCTCTATCTAGTCTCTAAGACCCCAAATTTCATCTGCTTCACCAGTTTCTCTCCTGCTACAGGAGTCGGAAAATGACAGCTGAATGCGGGAGTGATGTAATATATATCACTTTCTGCATTCAGAAAACAGAGGAGGGATCAGAAGGAGATCGTGTGATAAGCTCGGGATCGGCGGCAGAGAGGGGGAGGGTGCAAGCCCACATGCATAATACAAGCGATCCAGTGACTCTACAGCCGCTGGACCGCTTGTATGTAAACAGCCATCGCTGGCTCTTTACAATTTAAGCAGTTTTCCTGCTCGTGTCTGCCCTTGATACATACATCATGGTAAGCTCAATGACACAAATTATCACAGATGACACTGCCAGCCACTCCAAAAATAGTTAGTTGGGGGGCCCCAAAGTTTTGCTAGTGGGTTCCATGATTTCTAGTAACTCCCCTGGGTGTGAGGGTCAGCATACACACAGTAATAGTGTTATTAGTAGTGTGTGGTCTAAACGTGATGGAATAGGTGTGAGGGTCAGCATACACACAGGGTTATGAGCAGTGTCCAGTCTATATATGACAGAATAAATGTGAGGCTCGGTGTAGACACAGCAATAGTGTTATTACGGTAGTAGTGTCCAGTCTATAGGTGGAGGAATAGGTGTAATATACAGGACAGAGCGATGTATGAGGGAGGACGAGGTAATGGAAGAGATGTAATATACAGGACAGAGCGATGTATGAGGGAGGAGGAGGTAATGGAATAGGTGTAATATACAGGACAGAGCGATGTATGAGGGAGGAGGAGGTAATGGAATAGGTGTAATACACAGGACAGAGCGATGTATGAGGGAGGAGGAGGTAATGGAAGAGATGTAATATACAGAACAGAGCGATGTATGAGGGAGGAGGTAATGGAATAGGTGTAATACACAGGACAGAGCGATGTATGAGGGAGGAGGAGGTAATGGAATAGATGTAATACACAGGACAGAGCGATGTATGAGGGAGGAGGTAATGGAATAGTTGTAATACACAGGACAGAGCGATGTATGAGGGAGGAGGAGGTAATGGAAGAGATGTAATATACAGGACAGAGCGATGTATGAGGGAGGAGGAGGTAATGGAATAGGTGTAATACACAGGACAGAGCGATGTATGAGGGAGGAGGAGGTAACGGAATAGGTGTAATATACAGGACAGAGCGATGTATGAGGGAGGAGGAGGTAATGGAAGTGTAATACACAGGAAAGAGCGATGTATGAGGGAGGAGGAGGTAATGGAAGAGGTGTAATATACAGGACAGAGCGATGTATGAGGGAGGAGGAGGTAATGGAATAGGTGTAATACACAGGACAGAGCGATGTATGAGGGAGGAGGAGGTAATGGAATAGGTGTAATACACAGGACAGAGCAATGTATGAGGGAGGAGGTGATGGAATAGATGTAATACACAGGACAGAGCGATGTA